CAAAGTAGTGATGGCATTAACTTACTCATGACGAGTACTTGAAGGATTAATCTCATCAATCTTGTAAGTTTGCTTGTTTGGATTTGCTATTGGCTGACTTGGCAGAGTTCTTTCCTCTATACGAGATAGAGCAGTTGTTATTTTCTCAACTTGAACCTCTAGCTTGTTTATAGATTGGGAATGTGAGTGTACCAATTGAGTGGTGGAACTAAAGTTGCTAAGTGCAGCCATTACATTCTCTACAAATACAAACGAGATCTTAGGAGGAGGAGGATCTGGATTAGCTTGGTTCCTAAATTGAGGAGGATAGTAGATAAAAGAAGATTGATTAAAAGGATTATTTTGTAGAGGATTGGATGAATTATGGTGTTACCCCTGAGATTGGGGAACAATATTGCCTTGGCTTTGATTCTGCCATGATATACTGGAATGATCTTTCCAGCCAAGGTTATATGTATTGGAATTTAGATTGTAACCTGAACTAGAGAATGCAGCATTGGTTTGTGCTTGTGGATTTTCAAAAGATTGACCCATAAGAGGATAATTGTCAGCATAATAGGATGGACTAGCACAAACAGAACACACCTCCTTTGGCAAAGAAGAATGATGAGATGAACTAAGAGCACTGACAGCTAACAATACTTGGTCAAACTTTCGATTCAACAATTCCATTTGAGTGGCAACCTCTCTAGATTTTTATGATTCATACAAAATTTCAACTTGAAGGATACCAGGAGTGGACCTAGACCTAGAGGAAGAAGCATGTTGAACATTATTTTCACTTAGGGCCTCAAACAGTTCCCAAGCGTCATCTGGGCTCTTATATAGGAAACCACCATTACTAGAAGCATCTACCATGTTCCTATGTGGATAATCTAATCCATCATAGAAGATTTGCAGCAAATGCCATTTAGCAATATTATAGTATAGACACTTTCTCAGAATATTGTATCTCTCCCTAGTATCATGAAGTTGTTCATCCAGGATTTGGGAGAACGCCATGATCTCTTTTCTCATTTTTGTGGTTTTACCCACAATGTAGTATTTTTTTTAAGAACTCTTGTTGTAACTTGTCCCATGTGCTTATTAAATTATGAGGTAGGGAGTGCAACTAAGTCCTAGCTTTATCCTTGAGAGAAAATTGGAAGAGTCTCATCCTAAAAGCATCATCAGAGAGAGTGGACAACTTGGTAGTGGAACACAATTCTAGAAATTCATCTATGTGTTTATAGGGATCTTCAGTAGCAAACCCATGGAAAGTTGGAAGCATTTGGATCACAGTTGGATTGATCTCAAAGTGGGTTGCATTAGATTATGGAAATTGAAAGCAATAAGGGGATGTATATGAGGTGGGAATGAAGTGATCCCTCAATTGTGATTGTGGTAGAGGAATAGGTGTTTGTGGCACATATGCGCCATTGGGATTATCACCATTATTAGCCATGTTTGATTTATAGAATTCTCCTAACAATTTAAGCTAAGTTCAATGGTAACAAGTAAAAATAAAATTTTCAAGTAAAGAAATAAATTGAAAAGAACTCACAAAAGGTCCTGAAATCGTAGCTTCTTCTCCTTAACTTTCGTCGCCCTTTCTCCTTAATTCTTGTACTTGAAAAGAAAAAGAAATAAGGTGAGATATCAAAAAGTCCTAAAACTATAAATTAAATTAGAATTAATCTCAAACTCAACAAATGGTGACGCAGTCCCCGGCAACGACGCCAAAAATTGATGTGTCAGTTTAATTACCACTCGCAATAGTATGAATCTTTATAGGATAAGACTATATAGAGGGTGTCGATCCCACAGGGAGATGAGTGTTCTTTGCTTTGTTTCTAACTAATCCAATTTATTTCTTGATTTACAGGTAACTGATTGAATTGATTGATTGGTTGTCACGAACATAAAATAAAATTAAACTGAATTTAAACTAAAAGGATCAGAGAGAGAAAAGTCTTAAGGCTTTAACTTCACCACGAACTTTGTACTATAGTTAACTATTCTACTCTGGGGTTTTAACAATTTATATTTCAAATGAATTGAACTCAATAACATTCGTTTAATTCAGTTTTAAAGAAAGATGTTTTATAAATTTCAATTAACTATAACCTATCTACGGTTAGCATGGACTATCCACCTACATACTTTAACTAATTCTGCAAACAATCCATCTTTTCTAAGCATAGACTATGGAAACATTCATTTAAAAAAAGCATTGGAGCACTATTACATGATCTCCATTCTTATGTTCTGCAGGGGTCCACCAGATACCGTCCAACAAGAATGGGGTGAGAATAGTCTAAGAACAATTATATCTAAGATAAGGTAATAACTTTTCAGAAACTATTTAAAACTTTTGAAATCCAATTGAGTTGTCTCAATTGCTCATAATCATGTAATAAAAAATATAATATATTAAAAATATCCCAACGTTAAAACAATCAAACCATAGTACTTAGATCGGGTTACATTAGTGCCCTGAGAGAAGAATTAGCTACTCATGACGATGTAGAATATCATCTGTGTTGTTGTGGTCTTCATCGCCATGGACTGCCAAAACTCTTTTTGAATCTTCTTCTTCAAAACCCTAAAAGCCGCCGTGAGAGAGAGATGAATAAGATGATGGATTAATGGATGAATTCCTTAATGTGTCCTCTTCTTTTATAGCGGAGAACAAGTCCTAATCCCCTTTAGATTGGTTTTACAGCTTTTGGTAACAAATGGGCCCATAAGGAAACAAAGAAAGATGATTTTAAGTAATTCTTGCATGTATTTTTAACCTCCAGGATGCCAGAGCTTGAGCTCTGGAGTCGGGGCTCGAGCTTAACCTGTCAGCAACTTGTTCTGAAGTTGTAACGCAGTTCTGGCACATTTAGAGCACGAATCTCGAGATGGCTATTATAGACAAAAACATCGGGCTTCGAGTCTTCTTTCCAGAGCCGCTAAGTTTGCTCAATATAGAGTTTTGAGTCAAAAGTTATGCCAAAATACTGAAGTAGGTCAGAGTTTTCAGCAATGCTTGAGCCCTTAGTAGTTGTGCTCGAACTTTCTGAGTTGGGCTCGAGCTTTGAAGCTTGGGCTCTAGCTCTGGGAGCAAAATTTGTCCAAAACGTCTTTTTATTGATGGTGCTCGATCCCTCCTTTATGGTATTCGATCCCAAGGTGTTAGGCTCGAGCTCTTGGGCTGTGGGCTCGAGTTTCTTGAATATGTGCTAGGATCCCATGTTGTTTGGCACAAGGTCCTAGGACTTGACTCAACTTTTCACATTCTAATGCATTATGTGCTCAAGCTCTTAGGCAAAGGCTCAAGCACCCTATAGTTGGGCTTGAGGTCTGAAATTCATAGCTCGAGCTTTCTTACCTTGATGGAATTTCTTATTTTTATCTTTTGTGCTCAAGCCATAGAACTGAGGCTTGAGCTTCTTCCAAAATTCACCATTTTGACTCCCGGCTTGCTTCGGATAACCGGCAATGACGCAGTAAATTTCATTATTATTCTTTTCATCATAAAAACCTGGTTTTAACTACTTTTTTGGGAAAACACCTGAGAACAAAAAATAAACATAAATCAGTATAAAACATAATAGATATATCACTTTAGGTCTTGACATATGCGTATTTAGCTACTCGAATATCCAGTATTTAGCGCTCATCAATTACTGGAATGATTCATTCTCCCCACAACCCCCCATGGACATTCAATGTTGTTTATGCTAGCCCTATGGAATGTATTCGTGCTGTCCAATGGAATTATTTGGCGAATCTAGCAAAGTATTGGTCTTCAAAATGGGTGCTCATTGGTGACTTTAATGATATTCTTCACCCTTCTAAAAAATATTGGGGGGGGGGGGGGTGATTAAAGCTGGGTGGCGTCTGTAGAAGTTCCGTTCTTTATTGGAGAACTGTAATTTGTGGGATTTTGGATACATAGGCTATCCTTTTACGTGGAATAATCACCGTTCTGGGTCTACTAATATTCAAGAAAGATTAGATCGAGCTTTGGGAACTACAGAGTGGACCTCGATATTTCTACAGGTTCCCTTATCCCATCTTACAGTGGTTGGGTCAGATCACCATGTGTTAGTATTAAATCTTGATCCAATTGTTCCCAAGGGAAAACGACAGTTTCATTTTGATGCTTAAAGATTCGTGGAAGAACTTTGTACAAGGATCTCGACAGTTTTGCTGGGCTACTAAGTTGAAAGCCTGTAAAAAAGCTTTAGTGGAATGGGCGCATAATGAGCCAAATTTTAAAACTAACATTAGAAAGGCAAAATCTTATTTTAGACCTCTTAAAGAACAGACGGCGATATATAATCATTCATTGGTGCTTCAAGCGGAATCTGATTTATCGCGGTGTTAGCTGGAAGAGGAGATTTATTGGAAACAAAAATCTAGGAATCAGTGGCTTCACCTCGGGGATAAAAATTCATGCTTTTTTCATGCAGTGACCCGTAGAAGAAGAGCTCAGAATAGAATTTCTAGGGTGACGGATGAAGTGGGAGTTTGGCAAGAAGAGGATGATAAAATTCGATCTATTTTTCTGCGCTATTTCCAGCGGTTATTCCAGACTCAGCATCCTCAACAAGTTGACCAATTTTTACAGCATATTTCGTGTCGAGTCTCACCAGAAATGAATCAATCTTTACTGTTGCCATTGACAGAATTGGAAATAAAGGAAGCAGTCTTTGGAATGGAACCGTTGAAAGCTCCTAGACCAGATGGTATGACTCTTCTATTTTATTAGAAATATTGGGAGGTTATTAAGAATGATGTTGTTGCTGCGGTAACTAGTTTTTTCCAAACCGGGTATATACTTTCCTGTTTAAATCATACTAATATTATTCTTATTCCTAAAATTGACTCACCTACTTTAGTTACTCATTATAGGCTTGTTTCTTTCTGTAATGTCACTTATAGAATTATTGCTAAAGTTATGTTTAATCGTTTGAAATATGTGGTTGATTACATTATTAGTGAGTATCAATCTGCATTTGTTGCAGGAAGGCATATTACTGACAATGTTCTTATTTCACATGAGATTCTCCATTATTTGAAAAAATAAAAGGAAGGGTAAGAGGCTTTTTTGGCGCTTAAGCTTGATATAAGTAAAGCATATGATCGTATCGAATGTGACTTCTTATTCAGTATGCTTCGTAAATTGGGAATGAATGACCATTGGGTTAAAATGTTATCCTCATGTCTCTCAATGGTCTCATATTCTTTGGTTTTTAATGGCACTTCAGTGTGGTTTTTCCAGCCATCGCGTGGATTGCGCCAAGGTATCGTACCTCTTCATTTTATGTGCTGAGGCGTTGTCTTTAGCTATATAGAGAGCTTAGCAGGTGAAACTTATCTCCGAGGTGAGAATCTTTCGAGGTGCTCCATCTATTTCTCACTTTTTTGTTTTTTTGTTTTTTGTTTTTTGTTTTTTTTTTTTTTTTTTTTGTTTTTTTTGTTTTTTTTTTGTTTTTGTTTTTGTTTTTGTTTTTTTTTTTTGGCGGATGACTCTGTTGTTTTTTGTCAGGTATTTGCGTCGGAGATTGGATCTTTAAAGCGTATTCTTTTAGCTTATGAGTTGGCTTCGGGACAGAAGGTGAACTTTGAAAACTCTGCTATTTTTTTCTCTAAGAACGCGCCTTTGCAGTTACGGCATGCCTTGAGTCAAACATTGGATCTATCTAAGGAAGGGTTTCAGTCGAAGTATCGTGGAATGCCTACTATAATTGGAATGCCTGCGATAATTGGTTGGTTTAAATATGATGTGTTTAAGTTTTTGCTTCAACGAATAAAGGATCGCTTGGCTTCTTGGAAGCAACTTACACTCTCAGATGGTGGCAAGGAAGTTTTAATACAAGCTGTTTTGAATGATCTTCCAACCTAATTATATATGCTTTTCACCTTCCTCGTCATTTATGTATGGAATTATTGCAACAGGTATGCTCTTTTTGGTGGTGAAAATTTGGTAAAGATAAAGTAATACATTGGGCTCCTTGGGATTTATTATGTAAAAGCACAAAAGAGGGTGGATTGGGATTTCGAGACCTAGAAGCTTTTAAATAGGCGTTGTTGGCAAAGCACGCTTGGAATTGCCAAATTTCTAAACGTGGAGTGGCTTATCAGTTATTCAAAGTGCGATATTTTCCATCATGTTCCTTTGTGGATGCAGGTCTTGGATTGAATCCATCCTGGATTAGCGTAGTAGTCAGCGCAGGAGTTGTTGAGGAATGGTTTGCAATGGGTGATTAGCAATGGGATATCTATTCACATTTGGAATGATAAATGGGTGTCAGGTTTTTCCAAGCCTTTTGAAAAGCAGAGGGGTGGGTCAACTTTTAAGTTGGTTGTTGAGCTTATTGATGAGGATAATAATCAGTGGCGTATGAAAGTACTGTGGCAATTATTTTCTTCTGTTGAGATTAACCGTATATCTCAGATCTCTTTATATAATGGGCCAGTGGAGGATGTTCAAATATGGAATAGTGATGCCTCAGGCCATTTTTTTGTTAAGTCGGCCTACCAATTGGCTATCTCTCTTTATTGCCCGAATTTGCAGGTCGAGAGGCGGTAGGAAGGGCCAAGGGTGTTTAGACAATTTTGGAGTCAGTTGTGGAGCTTCTAACGTTAAGCATTTTATTTAGAAATGTTGCTATAGTACTAACCCTATAGGGGTTGAGTTAGTTTGAAGAGATTGCTTGCAGGATCCGGTGCGCCCGAGATGTGGGTTGGCGGTTGAGGATATTCTTCACATTTTTTTCTGGTGCGCTCACTCCGTCCAGGTATGGAAACTCATTCCTTTTCGCTGGGATTTTTCTCAGCATTCTTCTTTGTCTTTTATTGGTTGGTGGGAGAGTGTTTTGAGAGCTTATTTGATTTCCATGAAAAATAACAGGGTAGTGGGAGGGTTGGCTGCTTTTAGTTTGTGGATCATTTGGAAGGCTAGAAATAAAATGGTGTTTGAAAAGGAAGTTTGGGATCCTTTGGTGGTGGCTAATCTAAGCAATGGATCGGATGTGGGAATTTCTACGTGTGTAGAAAAAATGCTAGTCGTTTGATTTTTCTAGAAGTTGTTTTGTGTCCTCTGATCGTTGGATACACCCGTCACCTAGTCTAATTAAATGTAGCGTGGATGCTAGTTTTAAAAATGCCTCATTATTAGGCGGTGGAGGGGTAGTTGTTCGGAGATCTTATGGATTTGTTCTTTAAGTAGTGATTTTTAAACCAGTCTCTTCCTTGTTTGTGCCAAGTTGAGGCTTTTGCATTTTCTCGTGCTGTGTATTGGGCCAAATTTTTTAACTTTCATGATGTCTGCTTTGAAACAGATGCTAAAGTGGTGGTGGAAGCTATTGCGGGTGTGCGATATGGTGATGGTGAGTGCTTACCTTTGGTGTCTGAGCTTCGGAAGGAGTTGCACGCTTGCTCTTCTTTTTCTTTAGCACATGTTCCAAGGGGAGGTAATAAGGTGGCCCATGCTTTAGCTGGTCTCTCGAGGGTTGACATGGAGGGGGATCTGGTGCTCTATTTGATCCCACCTTTCATCTCTCAGCTTTTGGTAGTTGATGTTGCGGGTTTAGTGTGAGAGTTTGTTTGTTTTTGTGTAGTTGTTGTCAAAAAAAAAAAAAAAAATAATAAAAAAATTAAAAAATAACTTGTCTCCTATTCACACTACCTTTTTCTCACATCATATTCGTTGATCGAAAAGAAATGGGTGACAAATTCACATGTCAGTGTTGGTGTGTCCCATTGACTCTTTAGAATGAGAAATTATTAAATAGACGTGATCTATTTGACATTTGGTGAACTAATTCAATGTAAACCCTCCCATCATGAAACTTTGTAATTTATTAATGCACTCTTATGAGACCATCTTCTTAATCCAAGAATCTGTATTTAATTGGTTCACCAAGTGTTAATGGTCTAGAACCATCTAATAATTTCTCAAATAGATAAGGTCAATTCAATTGACCAGAGAGTTTATCTAATCTACACTGATCAGCCATTTTATTTAAAGTTAAATTTATGTAAATTGTCCGTTCAACTATTATTTTTTTGTAAATAACTTTTAAATTAAAAATTATCTCCTAAAATATTAATTTGTTACAAATTCATTACAAAGACTATTTTTTCCGTTTTCATTATATTTATCACTTATTATTAAATTATTTTTATTATCTTTTTCTTATGTAAATATTAATTATATTATTTATCTTAATTTTATTATTAGTATCAAAATTAGTACATTCTACCACAAATAATATAAACATACGAACAATATATATAAGTTGCACATCAGAATTCAGTGCCTCCTCGATTTGCAAATTTAGCGAAAAAGCAGCTTGAAGACCACATTGCATCCCGGCAATTGTAAGTAACAGACAACCTAATGTACATTTTTGATCCAATGTGAGCTATTGCACTATAGTATAGGCTGATTGACCTGAAAAGGAAATGGTTACTATAAAAATTGAACAGATCTACTAATCAAAACCTCAAGAGTGCTACAACTCACAATTCTTACAAAACTGCACAATCATACTATTTTTGGAGCAAAGGTAAGCTAGCCAAATTACATGTCATATAGAATATATATATATATATATATATATATATATAAATCAACAAGATGGAAAATCATACTGTATAACTATATGTGGTTATTCATATATATATATATAATAAAAATTTCATATATCTTTTTCTCAAAGGCATCAAAATAGTCGTTGCTCAAAGGCATCACCCCATGGTTACTGAAACCATATCTTATAGCCACCGTGTCCACAAATAATCACTATACATACTACTACAAATACCCTTGGATCTTATCAGTCATTGGACCATTTCTTTTTATCCCATCGGAATCAAAGATTTGCAGTTGTATTTTTTCTTTCTTTTTCTTTCTTTTATTTTATTTATTTATTTTTTTTTCCTGAATGGTGTGTTTTTGATTTAAATAAAGAAAAAGGAATACAATTACAAAGAGGAGATAAATTCTCCAGCAAAAAGAAGAATAAATGGACTAAGTCCATTTACAAAGCACAGCAAAATAAACCTAAACAGACTAAACAGCCCATTAAAGACCTTGAAACAGACCAAATGTTGCATATGAAATTCTTGTCAAAATACATAAAAACTTATGTCAAGACCTTCCATTCTAGCTGAACTCAAACCAGATATGCAACCAAGTTTCTATCAGCAACAAAGCTTCATTATACCACATCAAAAAGAGCAAGAAAATCAGCAAGTCCAATAGAAAAGAAGTTTAAAACTTCCCAAACTATATCATTTGCAGTAGCAGCAAAGGATACTCTTGTATCACAATGTAAAGCTGAATTTCTCACCATCCAGATCTTCCAAACAAACACAACAAAGAACCTTTTCAACAACTTGAACTTAAAACCCTTAGGCTATGTAATCTGAAGCATCCAATCAACAAACAAATTAAGCTCTTGGAACTTGTGATCAGGAATTTTCAACCAAAAAACAATATGCTGCCAGACTTCAATAGCATACACACAGGTACAGAATAAGTGATTATTATTATCTTCAGCCTGAAAACAATTATGACATACTGATGGTCTATGAAAACCCTTTCTCTGTAAATTAACAAAAGAAAGATTTTTGTTATGCACGATAATTGTAAAAACCACAGAAATCCTTGGTTTGCAATATTTCCAACACAGACCCTTCCACCGAACCACTTGCCCTCTAGCCCTGCAAGCTATCCAAGCATTCTTCAAATTGAACACACCATGTATCCAACAGATCTCATCATTACCAGTTTTTGGAATGATACTAACAACAAACGCAGTAGCTGGTTCTGGGAAAGAAACAGGTAAAACCCATTCACCATCAACAAGAAGAGTAGCTGCTGTAGCTTGTTTATCAAAAATTCTAAACATAGTTGCCCCAAATCTCTGAACCAATGACAAACCTGCACACCAAGGATCAAATAACATATTAAAGGATCCACCATTTCCAATCTTGAACACCACATTTGCTTGAATAAAATCTCTTGTATCCAGAATTTGTTTCCAAATACTTGAGTCTTGAGGGTTTGGTAAAACCATCCAGAAATTATGATGTTGTAAGTATCTAACATGCATCCACTGCACCCATAAAGTCTTCTTGTTCCTCAGAAAATCCCAACAAATTGAAACCTTAGCTGCAAAATCAATGTCAGAGATTCTACGTAGATTAAAGACTGCATAAGGGAGAGTTACTTGACTCCATTTGAGTTGGGACATCTTTCTTGAGTCTAACTTGCCACTCCATAAAAAATGTTTAAATTTTTTCTCCAAAGCAGTAATACATCCCCATGGTATTTTGAAACCAAATACCCAATGATATAAGAATGAATATAGAACTGATATAAGGAGCTCGATTCTACTTGCAAGGGAAAGGTTGATAGTATTCCAGTGATCCAACCTTGCATTTACTTTATCAAATAGACCTTTGCAATCAACACTCTTCAAAACTCTGTTCACTAGAGTAATTCTAAGATATTTTATAGGAAAAGCTTCTTCTTTCATTTGCAGAATCTGTAAAATCCTCCTTCTCCCCCTGGCAGCCTTAGAAAATATGATGGAACTCTTATCTTTGTTCACTTCAAGCCCAGATACCTGATGAAACCTTTTAAGCATCTCATCAATTATCTTAGCTGTAGAAATATCTGCCTTCACAATAATAAATAATTCATCAGCATAAAATGCATGAGAAACCAGCATTCCAGTTTTCTGAACCACATTGCATATCTTAATCTGTCCTCCTATAATTTTATCATGTATCAGAGTTGAGAAATGATCAATAATTAAAGTAAACAAAAGAGGAGAAAGAGGACAGCCCTGTCTAAAGACCTCTCCCAACTGAGAAATAACCAATAGGCACCCCATTGCAAAGCACTGAAAACTTAGAAGAAGTAACACACTGGACTACCCACTGAACCCATTTACTACTAAAACCATATAACTGGAGAGTTTTTTTGTATGAAATCCCAACTAACAGAATCGTAAGCTTTCCTAAGATCCACCTTCAAAGCCATAGCAGGACCTGTTGTCTTCAATCCAAAATTTTTGATCACATCAGCCACCAACAATATATTATTATGAATTTTTCTTCCCTTGATGAAAGCAGATTGCTCCAACCCAACAATATTAGGAAGAATAACACTTAGCCTATTAGCCAAAATTTTGGAAATAATTTTATAACTAAGATTACATAAAGCAGTTGGTCTGTAATTTTCTACTTTATCCCCATGATTTAGCTTTGGAATCAAGGTAAGGAAAGTAAAGTTAATCCCCATAGACATTACAGTAGCATTAAAAAAGAAAACAATAGCATTGATCAAATCAGGACCTACAATATGCCAAAATTTTTGAAAGAACCTGGCTGGAAAACCATCTGGACCAGATGCTTTGTTAGGACTAAAAGCCATCATAACCCTTTTAATCTACTTTGCTGAAACCTCCCTATCAAGCTCCTGCAAATCTGCAACAGCTAATTGAATTCTAGGGGAAGCCACTTCTGTCATAATAGTATCCTTGGCAGCATATAAATCTTTATAATAGTGCATAAGCCAATCCTTAATCACTTGAGGATCAGAAGATATGGCTCCATCAGGATGCTTCAAATAGGTAATTGCATTGTAACATCTCCTTTGTTTTACCAAATTATAAAAAAAGACAGAACATTTATCTCCCTCTTTAAGCCACTTAACCCTTGATTTTTGACACCATAAAATTTCTTTTAGGTTTAAAGTTGATTGCAACTTCAAAGTAGCCTTCCCTCTCCTTAGTAATTAAATCATTGTTCATAGAATCTTTCAGCAAATCCAGTTGAATTAGATGTAAATCCCCTCTCGCAGCTTGAACCTGCTCAGAGACCTTACCCTTCTTCTTATTCCAATCTTTGATAATAGATTTCACAGCTCTAAGTTTCTTCTGTAACTTGTGTAAGGGGTTCCCATCAACTGGTTCAGTCCATGCTTTTAGCACCAATTCATCAATTTCTTGTTGGAAACACCAAACTTTTAAGAACTTAAAAGGTTTAGGACCAACAACACACTCTAAATGCCAAGTTACTGCCAACCCATAGTGATCTGACAAAGAAGCAGGTGTCAAATGCACTCTAGTATCAGTAAACTTATGCAACCAATCTTTATTAGCGAGCACCCTATCTAATTTAATATTAATCTTTTTAGTTCTCTCTTACTTATTACTCCAAGACCAACCACCATTATTTAGAGGAAGCTCCTCCATTTGAATATCTTTGATCACTTGATTAAATTCATCAAGGAGATGTTGAGGCACTCTTAATCCCCTCATTTTTTCACTATGGAACCTAGAAATATTCCACTCCCCAAGAGCAATCCAAGGACAATCAACCACAGCAGCTTGATCTTGCAGATTCAACCATAACTTCCTTCTTTCATGCACTGTATTAGAAACATAAATAACCGATATAAAGACATTCTCACCTATTAACATATGCCTAACTTTAAAAAATATGTCCTGAGTATCTTCCTGTATAAGCTAAACTTCAAACACCAGAGGATCCCAAGCAAACCAAATTTTTCCCAAGAAATGAGAATCATAATTATCCAACCAATTCCACCTAGAATTAATTTTATGCTGAATTTTTCTAGGCTTTACCTTGCCTAACTCTAGTCTCCACCAGAGCCACCAAGGAAAATTTATTCTCCCCCATCCAGGCCTTGACAACTGCCTGCATATTTGGTCTATTTAGACTACTAACATTCCAAATCCCAAGCATTAAGAAAGAGACTTTGGTGGTAAAACACCACCAGTTTGTTTACCTCTAGTAACCCTATCAGAGGGTGGAGCTTGATACCTCTTCTTAGGTTTCAATTTTTGTTCTTTAGTTTGTTCAGTAATAGAACTTGAATAACCACCCTTGCCACTACCCTCACTTGCTTTACAAGTCTCAGTAGAAGTAAGTCCCGTGACTAAAGCTACCTCACTACAAATAGTCTTCTGTGGCTCTAATTATGCCTTAGTGTTCAGTTTCTCAATACCAAAACCTGAAGATCCACCCTTACCACTGTCAACAATTTCTGTACTAGCCTCAGTAGTAAAAACAAGCCCCTTGACTAAGGCTTCCTCAATAACCTGTGGTGACTCTTCCAAAGTTTTTTTAAAATTCTCTTTCTTAGAACCCTCTTCCTCTGGTAAAGTTAAATCATAAACAATCTTAATTGGACTAGCAACCCCTTCAACATTCTGCTGGACCTGCCCCTATATACTAACTATCTCCAGATCCTCAACAACCTTTGCATCTCCATGACTCTCCAATATATATAGCTTCTGTATCATCACCAAGCAAAGAAAAAGGATTGGATACCTCCAAAGTAGTAGTGTTACCCGAATGTCCTGGCATGGCAGTTCCTTCTAAACCTCGTTGAGGCATTTCATCAACAACCTGCACGGCGTCTTCATTGTCCACCAGTTTTCCTTTCTTTTTGATCACCCATTTGTCTGTGATTTTCTTCGTCTTGGCTGGGATAACTTTCTTGGGGCATTGATCAGCTACATGATCAATCTTTTTACACAAGGAGCAAACACGAGGCTTCCACTCATATTCAAAAGTGACATCACAATCTAATCCGTGCATGTCAACAACCATATTTTTTGGCAATTCCTCAGAGATACCAACCTCAATCATGACACGAAAAAATCGTCCTTTGTCTCTGTATTTGACCGGATCGTCCATACAGATTGGATGCGAGAATGAAGAACAAAGCTTTGAGACCGATACAGCATTACGACAGTGCACAGGCAAATCATGTATACGAGTCCATATAGGTACCGAGTCCATAACTTCTCGTTCTAGAATCACATTCTTGCACCACTGTTTCATATTGATCAATCTCCCTTCAAAAGTATGGATTCTAGACAAAACTTGTTGCACCAAATCTTCATTTTGAAACCGAACCATGAAAAACCCATTTTTGAGATACACCAGTGTAATATTTTTATCCCATTATTTTTCCACAAACGTGTTGAAGTGGTGATAATATGGACGACATCCCAACACATAACCCACCACAAATGGCTTCCAGTAATCTACCTCGTCTGCTGTAATACCCCTAATTTTAAAAGGCTATTTCTGAAATTTAATTTATGGCTTATTTGCATTTTATTTGCTTATTTGTGTAATAGTTTTAGGATTTATTTGTTTAATCAGTCATGTTACTTAATTAATTGCTTAATGGTTTATTTGTTTAATCAGTCATGTTACTTAATCTGTTTTTGGTAACTGTTTATATAATTTTATTTATTTATTTAATTGTGTTTATTTAATTGTTTAATTAATTTTATTTAATGGAAATTTAAATTTAAGGGAATTTAGTTTTCTGTTCTCTACGTGAATTTAGGGTTGCAATTTACATGGGTGGCCGACGTAGGTATATATCTTAGGTCGGTTTATGGGCCGAGATGGGCTCTGGCTTTAAGGTTACAAGGATTAGGGTTTAGAGTTAAGCTTATAAACATATTACGTGCGTTAAGCTTAGGGTTGGGATTCATAGCAGTTAACTCGGAGACGTGAATTGCATTCTGTGAAAGACACAGAAATTGTGAGGTACAGAGGGAGAACAGAGGAAGATAGGAGGTGTCTCTGGGTTGAACCAAGTTACTGGGGAAACAGACTTGCAGTTTAGGACACAAACATATCACCACAGAAGCTGAGAATTTAGAGATTCAAGTCTGAAACTCAAAGGCAAGTTCTTCTCTTCCTCCTTCCATTTGGCTTATGTTCTGTGCACCTAGATAATCTCTAGGGTTTAATTAATTATTAAATCAGAACTTAAATGCTTACCGTATAAAATATTGATGATCTCTGCGTGTTAAAATAAATTCTGTTAAATGTTTGCAAGTCTTATTCTGTTCTCTGTTTAAGCATGTAATGGTTGTTAGCAATTTTTGTTTCTTTAATTGTTTTTAAACCTCTGTAAATAAATCATGGGGATGATTATGGGGTGTTATAGGACTCTAAAGATCAATAGTGAAGAGGAACAGAGGGGTTGAACTAGAACAGTTATTGAAAAGTTTCAGATTTGTTCCTAACGCGTGTTAGTTCGGTAGCAAATTTAACCTCTATATTTGTTTCTAATGGTTGTTATCAAACCTTTGGGATGCTCCTGGGTGTTAATAAGATGCTTAAGATCTACTTTAGAAATCAACAGAGTGGTAGGAGTTGATCAGAGAGGGAGCAGACGGACTGAAACAAAGCAATGGGGACAGAGGCTCTCAAAGGAGGTGAGAGCTGGCTCCATGGATGTGGGAGCCGGCTCCCACAACAAGTAGAGCCAGCTCTAAGGACTCCTAGAGCTGGCTCTAGGCTGAAAGAGCCTACTCCCAAAATTTGGAGCAGGCTCCCTTTTGCAATATACATTTAATTTTTATTTTTTTTTAGTTTTAAGGCACTGTTTGGTATTCTGGACATTGTTTGAGCCTTGGGATGCTTCTAATGGATTGTGGGGACTTTTTAGAGGATTTAATTACTTGATTCTAAGTGTGATTAAACTAGTTGATGCATGGTTTAAGTCTCTAAGATAAAGGATAAAACAGTATAAAAGCGAATGACTTAGTACACTGTTATTGGATGGGACGAAATAAATTGTTTAGGTTAATCTAGCAATTTGTTGGACTATAATGGGATTATAGAATTTGTTCTAAATGCATGATAGAGTCATTGATATATTGGATTGGGTCTATGCATGCTTTGGATGCTAGTTGTGTAAACTATTAAACTGTTTCCTGCAATTACATGGTTTAATTCTGGGATTTAATTGCTGAAATCTTAAATACTTTTCTGCAATTATTTGGATGGTGGTTTTGGACTGTAAATTACTTATTCATTATGTATACATTGTAATTTACCTGGATATGGAGGATTGTATGCACTGGTATGGGATGGTGACATACTAGGGACGGTTTAGCTCAAAACGCATAAACCTAACCTAATGGATTAATGGAATGGATTGAAATATATCGAATCCTAATTGTGACTAAGTTAGATCAGCTGTAACCAAGTTGGATGACTTCCTGGATTAACGGATGGTAGTTAAGTCATATCAACTGAATAAGTTGAGTGACTAACTAGTTGGTTTATTGTATGTCAGTTTAATAAATAGTTGAATTACATACCCTGGATTTGGACGGACTTTATATATATGTTTATGGTACCACGAGTTGAGCTTGAGTCTCAGACTCGTTGGTTAGGGTGCGTATATGCAGTGGATGCGTAGCTGGTTATAATAGGTTGAGGTGTACCCTGTTAGGTCTAGGTACTCATGCCCACCTCTGGGTGCGTATTCACATGTTGCCTTCTATTCAGGTTGAGACCCCTATTATAGACTAGTGAATGTCCTTTAGTGTGGATATATTTATACGTATGGACTAGATATATATTGTGAGGTGTCTACGATGTATCTGCGTATCGGGTCATTGTATGGATTGCAGTTAGATTAGAACTTGCTCGTGGGTCTGACCCACTCCTTCATTATTCTTTTCAGGTACAGGATGGTTCCAGCCTTAGAGCTTGATCATGCTTGTCGAGGATAGTCTCACCTTCATCTGATTACATAGGACTTCTCTCGATGTTTCTAGCATTATCTATTTTCAGTTTTCAGTTTCAGTTGAACTTTTGGTTAGGGGTCCATCAGTGGATTCCCAAGTTGTAACCTTGAAGTTTTGGGAGGATTGGAGTTTTATTATTTCAGTTATGCATGGAGGGTTTTATAATTAATGTTTCTTCCAGTTTTATTCCATCTTTATTATTTCATTTTGTCATTTGTGTTCGCTTTAAAATACTTTAATTGTTTGATATTCCCTCGGGTTTGGGCCTGGGCCTGATCAACCTGTGTCTCGGATCCGAGGGGTATCACAGTTGGTATCAGAGCACTCCGGGTTCAAGTGTCTCTAGGACGTTTCGTATTAAGACTTCCGCGTAGCGTTTTTTTATATAGAGTTCATGTTTAGGATTCGTTGAATTCTTTTACGATTCATTTAAACTCGTACTGATGTCTGTCTTTCTATGTTAACACTGGGAGAGGACAGAACATGAACAGTCGACAGAGGAGAGCGGCATGTAGACAGTAGGAACGTCTACAACGTCGGCAAATGGAAGAAGAGCAGCAAATGCCAAGGTTTCAGGAGGAGCAGGAGGAAGTTCAATAGACTCAGGGTCGGGTCAGAGATCTAGAGATTCCTCCACACCTGAATGACCTTGTTGCTCGGGCTATAGAGGCTGGGGTAACAGCTGCTCCGGAACCAACCATAGGTTCAGCAGGCACTTGTACCAGCACCAGTGGTTCAGACGAATTCTTGGGGAAAGGCTAGGAGCTCTTTCACAAAGGGGAGTCCACCTGTTTTCTCAGGCTCCACCGATGCGAGAGCAGCTCACTAGTGGAAACAGGACATTGAGCGTCATCTTCGTTTGGTTCAGTACACGGAGGTTTAGAAGCAGATGCTTGCTACTTTCAAGCCAGTAGGGGATGCACTACAGTGGTGGGAGTCAGTTACCACCCCAGAGGAGATGATGACATTGTCTTATGATGAGTTCAGTGCTCGTTTTGACGAGAAATATTTTCCCTATGCAGTCAGGGCAGCTATGAAGACCGAGTTTCTAAATCTGCAGCAGGGAAACATGACAGTGGCGGAGTATGAGCAGCAGTTCACACGCTTGTCTCTCTTTGCACCGGAGGAGGTGGATACAGATGAGAAGAAGCGTAACAGTTTCGTCATGGGACTGATGTGGTTTATCAAGAGAGCTATTACAGGTAGTCTAGCCTATACTACCTATGCTCAGGTGGTAGACGCCGCTCTACAATAGTATCAGTTGACTGTGGACATTAGACAAGCTCGTGGTGAGAAGCGGGGTGATAAAGACTTTACTAATCAGTCAGCTGAAAAGGGGAATGGCAATGGTCACCGGCAGAATGACAAAGGCAAGTTCCAGGGACAACAGCCTTGGAAGAAGCACAAGGGTGGTTCAGATACTCACTGGAATGTGGTACCTATTCAGAGGCAACAGAATAGGGGACCACAGGTAGGACAGGGTCAGCCACAGGCTAACCGACAGAGGAGGCCATTTGGTACTTTCCAGGGTAGTTGTTACACTTGTGGAGAGAATGGTCATACCACCAGGCAGTGCCCTAAAGCAGGACAAGGACAGGGACAGGGACAGTATGTGCAGCAGGGACAGAGGGCGCCAGTGCCTCTACCAGCTCCACAGGTTCCACGGATTCAGGGACAGACACATCTGGCTTTATCGGTACCGCCGTAGACTCAAGGACAGGCACCACAGCAGTTGCATTATGGCAAGGTGTATAAATCCATGCCACAGGATGTTCAGGCACCTCAGACTATTGAAGGTAAGTTTCCTATTCATGGTTTACATGGACATGTTTTATTTGATACAGGTGTTATACACTCATTTGTAGCTAGGACTTTTGTTGCTTTATCTGGGATGAGGACGAGGGTATGCACTAAACCTCAGGGTATTTCTACACCATTGGGTGATACAGCTATTATACATGAGAGTGATAGGCCTGTGACACTAGATATTGGCAGACTCAAATTTCTAGCCAATCTATTGGTCCTGGACATGCACACTTTTGATGTGATACTTGGGATGGATTGGTTGTCTCACTACCATGCCCAAGTTGATTATTTTGATAGATCTATTATTTTTACCATACCTGGTCAGGATATGTATGTAGTAGCTATGCCACGTTCTAAAGGGGGCGGTAGCACCTTTTTGTTCCATGTGGAGGAGGAAAATGAGGAGGGGATTATTGTGCCATTGGATAA